CAAAAGGTTAGGCTAAACCTGAGACTACAGGGCTTTGGAAAACTAGGCCCTGTGAAATACATTTGCTTTATAAATGTTAGTATATTCCACACTTCCCCACATTATGTCTTGCTTTCCTCATCTGTAAAGTGAGTCATGTGGTGTTGGCTAGCTTATGACATACCAGGATTCTGGGCTGGGGCTGCAAACACATGTGGAGGCAGTGCATGGTTCAGGGCCATGCTGTTCTGTAGCTACCTGGCTCTTACATGCGTCTACTTGAGCTGCCAGTGGTAGCAACGGTCTGAGCATGTCCAAGCCTCCTTCCTCCCTCCCACGTCTCATCTTAGACCAGTTTTATATTAAATACATTATGTATTTATTATTCTTGTCACCCTGAAGGATACAACTTTTGGATTTTCCTCTTTTTTTTGGCATTGAAAAGTCATTTTAATCATTTGTAAGTATGATAAGGTATCCGTGAAGTTTGAGCCTGATAACCTTCAGTAACTTCTTTTAAAACTTATTTTTTATTAGCATATTTATTGATACAAATCATACTTATTCTTTATGCCCTTTATCCAGTCTCTCCCTTTCTCCCTCTTCCTCCCCTCTCCCTCCCCCTCCCCCCTAATAACCATAGATTCGTTCTCTCCCTCTGACAGATTAACTGTTCCTCTGTTGGTTTGTTGCCCAGATGACCTGTCCAGTACTGAGGCAGGTGTGATCAAGTCCTCCCCTATGATTGTAAAGCAGACGCTTCTTCTGTTACTCTGGAGTGTGTTGTAGAGGGACAGGACCTCTTCTTTTTTTTGGTCTCTGCTGGTGCCTCTCCTTGTGTTAATGCAGTTGAGAGTCTGGTGTGTCCTCTGCATGGTGGCTGTGACTGCTGTTACAGAGACTAGCCACTTGCAGCAGCCATGGCAATTGTGGTGCCTATAGTGGGCTACCTGCATGGAAATGTTTTTTTTGGTGTGCTCTTTACCTGGTTGTGTCTGGGTTCAGCTTCCCTCGGCTACCGCACCTTGCTCAGCCAGTGAGCCTCCAGTCTGTATGTGGAATCCGAACCCTCGGTGGGAGTGCCGCTGCGCTCCCAAGTGGCGCACTGTAGCAGTGCGCCACCGGGCCGGCCCCTAGACCAGTTTTATATTAAATACATTATGTATATATTATTCTTGTCACCCTGAAGGATACAACTTTTGGATTTTCCTCTTTTTTTTGGCACTGAAAAGTCATTTTAATCATTTGTAAGTATGATAAGGTATCTGTGAAATTTGAGCCTGATAACCTTTAGTAACTTTTTCTAAAACTTATTTTTTATTAGCATATTTATTGATACAAATCGTACTTATTCTTTATACCCTTTATCCAATCTCTCCCTTTCTCCCTCCCCCTCCCCCCTAATAACCATAGATTTGTTCTCTCCCTCTGACAGATTAACTGTTCCTCTGTTGGTTTGTTGCCCAGATGACCTGTCCAGTACTGAGGCAGGTGTGATCAAGTCCTCCCCTATGATTGTAAAGCAGATGCTTCTTCTGTTACTCTGGAGTGTGTTGTAGAGAGACAGGACCTTTTCTTTTTTTTGGTCTCTGCTGGTGCCTCTTCTTGTGTCAATGCAGTTGAGAGTCTGGTGTGTCCTCTGCATGGTGGCTGTGACTGCTGTTACAGAGACTAGCCACTTTTGCAGCCGCCATGGCAATTGTGGTGCCTATAGTGGGCTACCTGCGTGGAAATGTTTTTTTTGGTGTGCTCTTTACCTGGTTGTGTCTGGGTTCAGCTTCCCTCGGCTCCACACCTCATTCTAAGATGTTTTCATGGAGCAGTTGCGGGGAGGGAAGAGGGAAAAGGGAAGAGAAATAAGGTGGGAGGAGGAGGAAGGAGGGGGGTGTGGTTGAGGCCTGTGGCAACCCCCTCATTCTGGCAGGGGAAACCAGGGGGCTTCCACTGGTGGCTCAGTCATTGCTGGGCTGGATGCAGATGTCAGGGGGTGTGGCTGAAGCCCTCGGCCCCCCCCACCCTGGCTCAGGAGCCCAGGGTGCTGCCTGTGGTGGCCTGGTGGTCATTGCTGGGCTGGGTGTAGTCATTGGCGGGGGGCATGGCTAAAGCCCACATCCCTCCCCGCTTCCTGGCTTGGGAGCCTGGGGGGCTTCCAGTCCTTCTAGGGTTTACAAGTGTTCTTTGGTGGTGTTAGACCTTTACTAGTTAATGTCAAACTTTGTCTCTGGTCTGAGGGTACTTTGTTTTTTCTTTCAGTTCTGTGTTGGATCATTTGCTGTTCCCACCACTTAAACTCTGCACTGGAACTAATTTGTTGTCCTTTGCTTACTTCTAAAATGGGGGAACTTCTATGGGAACCAGGACTTGAGCTGTGTGGTTGAGCTAAACTGCTGCTTTGCTGCTGACTCCCTGAGGAAGGCTTTTTGTGCAGCTCAGGTTTTAATGGTTGACATTGTAAGCACTTCTGGGTCTTGTGAGGTCTGGGACACCTGGGTTGTGTGGAAACTCTGGTCTGGGCCTGAGTCTTTTCAGCAAACTGCTCCCCCTGCAGTTCTGTACTCCTGACCAGTCTCCACTGAGTGGGCCTGTGATGACTGAGGGGCAGATCAGCTGTCCTTGCTGTGCCCCAGGGTTCCTCTGGTGGCCCATCTACCCCACTGCCTGTGCTCCAAACACTTCCCATGGGGCGGGCCATGTGCCCATCCCTTGAGATGACTCGCTGGCCTCTGAGTGGCTTCTTTTTCAGTTGTCTGTGGGCCCTCACTCCTATGTGGGTCCGCAGAAAAGTTTTTAGTGTTCTTGCTGGTCTGAGGGCCACCGAGGCCCTCTTCTCCCCTGCCACCTACAAGTGACTTCCTATGAAGGGCACATCTGTGGCTTTTGACAGCTTTTGCTCCGTGTGCTCACCAGGGCCAGGCTTAAAGGATCTGCGGCTCAAAACGTGGGAGCAAGCTTTTCTTTCTCTCATCGTGGTTTCTTCTGCCTTCATGAACTCTGTAGGTTTCTTCTCTTCCCCTGAGCTCTAGTGGCCCCAGCTTGGCTGTCATTGATTTTTAATAGTTATAAATTGGTTGATTTGTGGGAGAGGGTGACTCTGAGGACTGTCTATTCTGCCATCTTGACCAGAAGCCTCTGGATTTTCCTCTTTTAAATGTATCCCGTCTTCTTGCTTTCCTTGATTCCTGTTCCCCACACCCAAAGTGAGTGTTGAGGTGTTGTGGCAGGGGCTGCAGAGGTCAGGTAGGGAGAGAGGGCAGAATGGTCCGCGTGGCTGTGGAGGGGAGTTAATGATGCCCAGGACTCAGCTTGAAGGGCAGCGTCCTGGACTGTGGGAGCTGCCATTATTCTGTAGAGGGAACTTGGATGCATCGCTGGTACCAACAGGAAGCCTGGGGATTGGAGTGTGTTCAGGGTAGGTGGTCTATTTTCTACTTCCCCTCC